AAATACAGGTATAAAGTTGATTACTCCGGAAAACGTTGCACTTGTCGGAAGTGGCAGACGCATAGAAAACCGTGTTCTCATGCAATAGCCGTCTGTCGTAGAATTGAGGGTGACCCAAAGCTGTTGTACGATGATCACTTTTGGACGTCGACCTAGGTAGCTCAATTTACTAATTGGAGTTTTACTCCGATTGGTAATCCGGATACATGGCCGCTGGTGGGATGGAATTTGATTCCACACTGGGAGAGGATCATCTTGAAGCCTGGACCCGGTTGCAAGCAAAGGAGACGCTACCGCATGCAAATGGATCGTCGGGCACGACGCAGAAATGAGAGGGGCATTGTACTAGATGCGGTGATCCAGGGCATGTTGTGGATGAGTGTCCGTCATCACATCCTCGCAGCGATAGATCTAGACTTCGTGATGTGTGGGGAGATTAGATTTTTTATTGTTTATTTGGATTTGTTTGGATTATTTATTTGGATTTGGTTGGATTATTTATTTGGATTTGTTTGGATTATTTATTTATTTGGAGTTGGTTTGATGATATTTAAGGTAGATTGGTTGATTTGTTCGTGTAATTTTGGTTTAGTTAGTTGTTTTGAATATTTAAAACAGGTGCGTTCGAGTCGTGTGATCATCACCAAGTTTTTTATTTTTATTTTTCCCAGTTTAAAACGTATTTAGAAAATACGTTTTATAAATAATTCAACGGAAAACGTATTCTCAGAATACGTTTTACAAATAATTCATTATAAAACGTATTCTGAGAATATGTTTCTTAAAAACAAAAAAAAATGGTAGAGAATCCCAGATTGGGGACTCGAACCCGGGTCAATGGTTGAGTCCGATTTCTCTGGGCGCACCTCGAACCATTGTGCCGACAGACACTTTCCGATAATTTTTAAACAAATTATATACATATACATAAAATTATACAATAGATTAAAAAAATTGTAATTTATACTATATTTTATATTATATTACCTACTAAGGACAATTACTTCTATGCTGGATATTGAATGAACCATTTCCTGAAACGAATCCAACCCTCGGAAGAATTGAAGTCAATTTCGTACAATTGAAGTCAATTTCGTACAATTGAAGTCAACTCAGTACAATTGAAATCAATTTCGTACAATTGAAGTCAACTTCGTACAATTGAAGTCAACTCAGTACAATTGAAGTCAATTTCGTATTGAAGTCAATTTCGTACAATTGAAGTCAATTTCGTACAATTGAAGTCAACTTCGTACAATTGAAGTCAACTCAGTACAATTGAAGTCAATTTCGTACAATTGAAGTCAATTTCGTACAATTGAAGTCAACTTTGTACAATTGAAGTCAACTCAGTACAATTGAAGTCAATTTCGTACAATTGAAGTCAATTTCGTACAATTGAAGTCAGTTTCGTACAATTTCGTACAATTGAAGTCAATTTCGTACCACTTCCTCAATTGAAGTCAATTTCGTACAATTGAAGTCAACTCAGTACGATTGAAGTCAATTTCATACAATTGAAGTCAACTTCGTACAATTGAAGTCAACTCAGTACAATTGAAGTCAACTCAGTACAATTGAAGTCAATTTCGTACAATTGAAGTCAATTTCGTACAATTGAAGTCAACTTCGTACAATTGAAGTCAACTCAGTA